AATTATAAAATTATTATAAAAAATCCTATATACATATTAAATTATAAGAAATTATTAAAAATCATATATATTAGATACCCTATTTGTATGTGATATATACACAATAGTTTTACATTATTGTACCTTAGTATTTCTTTCAATTATTATTTAAATTTACTGTCACTTCTAATTTTTTTAAAAAATTGTGGCCATATTGTGACAATAGAATATTTTCTTTAGAGCTTTACAACAGAGTTTTATATTGTGCCACCCCTATGTGGATATTTACCAGACAATATTCTTATACAATTGCTATCAAATCCAAACTTCAGGAAATGGATTAAACTTATTAAGACACAGTGTTAAGGGCTGTGGAGTTAAACAATTAGAAATAACAATCTCTGTCCTAAAAAGTTTACTATATAATTAGGCAGACGATTTGCCAATATATGCAAAACTTAAATAAACATGAAATTTTGGGATTAACTTCTAAATTCATTATATAAGCACCAACTGTTACATTTTTTTAAAGAAAAGTTGGTTAAATTGTCTTTATTTAAGCATTTATTGTCCTCTAGTGGATGAAATAAGTATGTCCATAAAAACCCATAAATTATTGGCAAAATTTGACTAAAGTGAAAAAGGTCAATTCATTATTTTTACTATTTGTGTTTCATCTGGCAAACCACAGCAATGGCAAAGACTTCCCATTCATTGTATGGTGGACAGTAATACAATACTGTTTAGGGAGTTAACTGTTAGTTATTTTCTTATTTCCATCATGTTATTTGTCACTTAGTTTCTATCTTTACTGTCTGACTTGCAGTATGGTGAATGCATATTTGATAGATAACTGAACAAAGTGACAGAATGAAAGTATTAAAGTTAAGAAAACATTATGATAGACTTGGGAACAATTTCATATGTGGTATATCCTATAATTTATCTTTTTTTCTCAATTTTATTGGGAAGAATGATATAGTAGTACATTTCTCTCAGCTCCATCACAGTCAGCAAACCATTGTCCAATTTAGTAAGCTCAATATATTTACTTATCAGTTATTTGTTGTGCAGCTGGTAAATGCCAACTGTTAATAGCATTAGTGAGGGACAAACAGACAGCTTTCCTAGTTGCTAGTTAGTTATAGTCTAGGACAAGAGACAAACAGCTTTACAGTGTGCACAGTGCTTTTATCTCATTATTTGATCTAATCAGAGAATTTAAGTAGCTGATTAAAGATCGGGATGCAGGTGGAATCAGGTCTGGAATTCACAACTCTGACAATTAATGCAGCAGCAGTCTTTCTAGTTCACTGTACTGTGTGCTCAAGCATCACACTTAACTATTTGTTTTAAGGCTGCCCCAAAGATAAAGTTATCCCTTTAGAAAACTAGTTCCCAGTTCTAATGACACAAAGACTAATTTTTCTTCCCTTCATTTCTCCCCAAATAGCTGGAAAGGGGTGTGGCTTAGTGTAGATCATTTGCCTAGAGTGCCTGATGCCCTAGGTTTGATCCATAGTACTAAAAAACAAAACAAACCAAAAAACATAATAAATCAGAAACTGTTCATGCTTTGCAAGAAAACCTTTGTCACCTTCTTCCTCTCAGATTTCCCCTTTTACAAGTCAAGATGCCTCATTATGGGAAGGGTGGCTACTTAGAATATTTTTCTTGACACTATCTAATGATCTTTTTCAAGGGCATATACTATGTTTTAATTTTTAAAAGAAGTCATAACAATTCTCTAAGAAATATTTTATGGACATTAACATGAAGATTCTAGAAAGGGAAGACAGGAGATCAACAATAAAATACACAAAAAGAAACAAAACCTCCAGTGAAAGGTAAAATATTTTTAAAAACACTAACCAGGAAAATCTTAAGAAGTACAACATAGTGTGTCCATTCATTCCACCATTTATAACTTTTATAACAGGGATGGAGAGGGGACAGAGTTGGAGACAGAAAACACAAGCTCTTTTGTTCAAGGAATTTAAAATCTATTTGCTCAATGGATAACTATCAATGAAATGATACAAAGGTAAAAACAATATATGCAAATTTCGGACTTCCATACTGCAACTGCTTACCTGAGAGCCAACTGTGTTTGGATATCTCACAGACATCTCAAAGTTTAATAGGTAACAACTGAATTTTTAATTTTCTTCTCAAACCTCTTTCCATGAAATTTTCTCAATCTCAGTAAATGGTAGTACTTTCTAACAAGCCAGTAAGGCCAGATAGCTAGGAGTAATCTTTCATTCTTTTCCTCATGTGCCAAATCAAACCATCAGTAGTCTTAGAGTCTATTTCCATATTAGAAATCATCATTCACTTCCACCATGTATTCTGCCACCACCTTAATCCAAACCACCATCATCTCCTGCTTATGATGCTGCATTAGTCATCTAACTGCATTATCTGCTTTCTACCCAATCTTCCAGACTCATCTTATTCAAGAGTCCTTCCTGAATAAGTTCCAGCAACACAGATCTTTTCTTAGGTTCCTGAACACAAAAATATCAAGGTTTTTTTTTTTTTTTTTTTTTGCCACAGGTATGTTGTGTATCTTATTCATTTCATTTGTAATCTTCCTCTCTTTCAAGGCTAGATAATTCTCATCTTTAAGGTCTCCACCGAAATATCAACTCCTTAGAAAGGACTTCCCAGACCATTTTAAAACCCATAGTTCCCCTGTTATTTCCTTTCTTAAATCCATGGATAAAAGATATATTTAATTGGGAAGGAATCCATCCTGTTCACCATTGTAACCCAATATCTAGCAGTTCTTGGCACAGAGGGAGATAGATAAAACTATCTTCAGCATGAGAAAATAATGACTGGGCACTCTGTGATCCAGTTTTGCAGAGTTAGGAAAGCCTGCCTGCCTTAAAAAAAAAAAAAAAAAAAAAGGCCTTGCAAACTGAGAAATAAGGAATGAGTAAGAACATGCCAGTTGGGGATGGGTTTAGGTTTGGAAATAAGAGGGAGGCCTGTGCCTCTGATGAACATATGACACTCCAGGATTAGGGAGTAGCTCAGTGATAGCACTTGCCTAGGCTGGATGAAGCCTTGGGCTTGATATCCAACAACAGTGAAAATAAATAAATAAAAGCATTTTGTATGGCTGGTGCCTAGAGCCAGAGTTGGAAAATCTCTGGGGCTGGAGAGGGAGACAAGGATAAGACAAGAAGGGGCTTGTAATCTATGTTAAGGAACACAAAAACATCAAAGAGTTTGATACTTAAGGAGTTTGGATTTAAAACTGCAGGCAAATAGGAGCGGCAGAAAGGTTTTAAATGGTCAAACTTGCAGCTCTCCTGCTCCTGGCTTTCCTGGCACGCGGGATCTCTGTAGCCCTCTGGCGGGTATTAAGGTCTGGCAATGTGGAGACTGGATTAAAAGGTACCAAGACTGAACGCAAAAGAAATACTTGGGAGATTACTGTTACAACTACATAGCATAGGGGTCAACCCAAATACCAGTGAATGTGGAGAAAAGTACAGAGATTTGAGATATTCGTGAAGCTGTTATTATTGGCTGGATGTGAGAGATAAGGAAGAAATCTAGAAAACTCCTAAAAAGCCTAGACTTTGTCTCGGTTATCTCCAGTTTGAGCTCACCCTGTGTCTAGTTCGACAGCCCAGTGTTCTCAACAAACGTTCACATAGTGATCCCAACGGCACGGTCTAAAGTCACTGACCCTTTTACTCTTGTACTGTCAAAGCTTCGCTTTACAGACAGGACTCCAGAAAAACAAACAACAAAGAATGCCTCCGGGTCTCATCGACGATGACTCTAAGAGTCTCGGGAGACCTCGGAGTGCTTCCCCAAGAACCTCTTTTCTAGCTCCTCACCTAAGTCAAGACTGGGAGACAGCCAGGGCGACGCCGAAAGGCCGCAGTCCAGATAGACCCAGCAACTCGCCAAACACCTTCTACTCGAATCTCCCGCGTTCCCTTCCGCCGGAAGTGACGTTTGAGCAGTGGTTCCTCAGAGCCAATCAGAAAAGGCTCCGCCGAGGGTCACGATTAACCGCGAAATCCTGGGGGCATTTGGAAGCGACCATTTTTTGTCAAACTGGGGTAGAGACAAGGTTTGAAGAATGCTCTACCCCGACTGGTGAAGTAGTAGTACAGCCTGCAAAATTAGCTTCCGGGGAGACTGAACTAGCTTGTCGTAGGGACTCCGGAAAGGGGAGGGAGTGGGTGGGAGAGCCCTAGGACTGGGGTCTGGCCCGGTGAGGAAGAGGGAATTGAAGCGGACTGGATGGGGTTGGCGCTGCCGGGAAGACAGGAGGGGGCGCTGTTCGGAAGCGTAGCAGGACCTCAGACGGAGGAAGGGAGGCGACAGCGGCGGGAGGCGCAGCCTGGAGTGGGTTTCTTGGAGCTGAGAGAAGAAAGGGGGCGTAACCAACAAGGAGGGACCGAAACCTGGCTCGCTAAGGCATGGGGTTGCGGACAATACGGAGGTTTGGGGAGACCCTAGAACAGAGGGTTCCGTTAGGCGGGCATAATGAAGGTGAGATGCTAAGAGCGCAGTCTTTGGAGGACTGAGCGGTCCGAAGCAGTGCTTTACTTCCTACTACCTGAGTGACCCAGTTTCTTCATCTATGAGTGGGAATAAGAGTCGTACACTAGACAAGGAATTGCTGTGGTGGTTGAGTTAGATGCGTGCCATCATGTCTAGTGATATACTGGCATGCAGTGAGCCGTCCCTAAGTTGTTATGGTAGCTATCTTTAACATTAGTGGGATTTGCGGAGGAGGACAGGGAGTGTTGCATTGGGACTAAGGTGGCCGGGGCAGGGTTTGGCGGTGACAATAAAGGCAGAGGTTACAGCGTGACCTGGAGAAGAGGTGGGCTTGGGGGGCACTGCAGATTGGGATGGGGTACAGACCCTGGCCTGATAAGGGCCGACTGGTGGTGTGACCTCAGTGAAGGTAGGCTCCAAGGAGAGGATGGCACGAGAGGGAAGTGGGGTGGAGGCGGCGCCCTCGGGGACAAGTGGTGGCGAGGCTGAGAAGCTGGCAGGCTTTAGGTTTCCCGGGGGAGGAGCCGGTCTGCAGCGGGCGGAGCTGAGGGCTGGGGCCGGGCTTAGGCTAAGCGTGGCTGCCCGTGTCCCTCTCGCCTTCACACCCGCGCTGCTGCCGCCAACCTGAGCCATGGGTTACCCAGCCCTCCTGCTCTCGCTCCTGGTTTTCTTGGCACCCGGGACCTGTATAGACCCCCGGCGGGTACTAAGGACCCTCAGCAGCCTGCACTTGCCAACCAACCCCGCATCCCGGTCCTCTGTAGCCAAGAATTACTCAGTTTTTTATTTCCAACAGAAGGTAAGGGGGTGGGAGGGGGCGGGGAAGCTTCGAGTTCCCGAGTCCCAACCGCTGGGACCTCGGTCCTGTAGAGTCCGGGCATTGGAGCTCACTCTGAACTTCAGACTCCCTGATACCTAGGACTGTCCAGTCTTTGGTTTACACATTCCAGAGGATGGCCTCAAGTCCCCCAATTTAAAAATTCTCCTCCCACTACCAATAATTTAATACCATTCCTGGCATCCTTATTTTTCTGTCTTTGAAACAACGGAAACTTATTCTCTCACAGTCTGAAGTCCAAGTGCACCATCCTTTTCATTCAGTCTCTCTGTAATTGGCCACAGCAGTCACTTAAATTCCCCTAGCTCTTAGAGAGTTCCTCAATCTAAACTCCTTTGACTTCTAAATTCAAATTATTGAATGCCAACCCTGGTCCTTAGTCTTTGGTGACTGTCATCTTTTGCCCCAAGGCAGTCCCTAAATACAAGTTCTAATGTCTGTACCTATTAGATAATATAGAATATTAATGCAATCTAAAATGATAGCTTGTCATTTCAGGATCATCTCAAAGATGATTTTGTGGGCCTTTCATTAAGAGTTTTTGGCTGTCCCTGTTCCCTATCAGACTGAACACATGGCTTGTGCCTGTAAAAGAAGTTATAGGCATATGGCAGGATTTGAGGTGGGTGTTGGGGTCACTGAATCTGATCTGTGACTTGAGTTTACAGTTCTAAGACAGGATTTATGAGTGCTTTTATGGTTGGCTTATGGCATTTGGTATTACCCCACAAGTCTAAATGGAAAAGTACATCCTATGTGAAATAACAGGGAATTCTAATGATTCTACATTTCTAGGAGCCTAAAGATAGGGATTAGAAGGAGTGCAAGGGTCTGATCTTGGCATTAGGAGTCAGACCAGGATTCTACCCTGGTAGCTCTGTGATCTTGGGCGGGTTACAGTTTGTTGCTGAACTTATTTTCTTGATTTTCTGGGGTTATGGTAATGGTTAAATGGGAGCAGATGACATATCCCTAGCAGAGTAGCTAGTCTGAAGCAGGCACTTAATAAATGTATGGTTACTGACCCATCTGAATTGCATAGGAATTTAAAATAAAGGAATGGCATGAATTTGTAGAATAATTTATAAGCAAAAATTTTTTAACACAGAAAATTGAATTTGGATTTAGGAAGAGAAAGTGTTTTACTTTTAGCAGAGATACCAGGAAACAAGAGTGTTTTTCTTTGGAAACGCCTTTAACTCTCTCTGACGTAGCTTCCTCATTTGCAAATTGACAAGGACCACTGTGTCTAATACTTTACTGAGGAAAGTTAAGGGCTCCTTGGGGGAACTAGCTTAGAGGGAAACTAGTTGGGTAAAGCTTGTCATTTCAGGACATGAAGTGGAAGCCATGTTAGGTTCTCCAGGGTGGCCTCCCCTGACCTCTTTTTATCTGGAGCTCTCTGTTTTATGTGTTTCATTAACATTATCACTCATGATAATCTTCATTCATCTTCAATTGGCTAATCCCCCCACATTTCAAGCACCTGGCCATGTCACTCACTAGTTAGATCCCAGCACAGGGCTCTTTACCCAGCCAACCTTTGCTCACTAGTTTATATTTAGTTTATACATTAGGACAAAGATCCCACACATGTATTTATTACCATAATAATAAGTATCCTTATATCAACTCCAATTGAGCTTTTTATTTTTGAGAAAAAAATTCCATACATATTTATTGCATAATTGCACGTATAATAGTTGTCAATTTCAGGATCATAGATTTTTATATGGGACTGTGTAAATTCAACTTCAATTTTTTTTAGTAGAGCACATATACTTTTATATCTTTTAATAATAAACATATAAGCCTCAATTTTCATTTAGGGTTTAACTTTTTCAAACTTTATAATGTTTCCTTTATCTATAATTATCTCATCTAGGTGACCATGCTAGTCCCAGAAGTCCTTATATACACATAAAGGATGTGGTTTTATGGAATGGTCTCTGTAAAAAGGCTTAGCCAATAACTTTGTTTCTCTCCTCCTTAGAAATCCTTCATATCTTTGAATGCTTGCAGGATAAAGGCCAAATTCCTTGGCATGGATTCCATTGTTTCTCACCACATAACCTTTCTGGCCTTTCCAGCTTTCTGTCCTGCCATAGTCTCCTGCTTCTACTTGCAAACACATTTACTCTTTCAGTAACATAGAACACAGGCTCCAATGAATTTTACTATTTAGAAATTCTGTCTGGAATTCCACACTTCTTTTCCATTAGTTAAACTTATCCTTCTATCCCAGAGGAAATGTTATCTTTTCTGTCAAACCATGACTTCTTTAGGCCAGTTTAGATCATCTTATTTTAATCCTGCACACTTATTATTTTATACATGTCCTTCCTGCTAGATAGCACTCTTCAGGACCTACAAGAGCCTATCAAAAGTGTAAGCTTTTTCTGTTTCTGGTTTAGGAGGAGTGTTTGGGGAAGGGGCAGAGATGCCATGTTTAGTAACAAAGGTGCCAAGAAGAGTCCCTTAAACAGCCCAAGCTGCAGACCAAGGAGATGGATGAGGAGGCTTTCAAGCAGAAATAAAAAGAGGAAATGAAGAAATTCGAGGAGATAAAACCATTGAAAGTTGGGGTGGGGGTGGGGGATCTGGCCACAGGTGGACTTAATAAATCTAGCAAGATAATGATGACACTTGAATCCATTCCTAGATATATGGATTCTTTGCTATAATATCTTTTGCCACCTATGGCTAAAATGAGTTGTTTTCTTGGAGTTTTGTGTACATTTAAGAGTAAGCTTTTATGCTGGAAGTGGTGGTACATGCCTGTAATCCCAGGGACTCAGGAGGCTGAGGCAGGAGGCACAAATTTGAGGGCAACCTGGGCAACTTAGACCCTGTCTAAAAATAAAAAATAAAAAAGAGCTGGGGATGTAGGTCAGTGGTAGAGCACCCTTGAGTTTAATCCCTAGTACTGGGGAGGGGGGAGAATAAACTTTTGTTTAAAAAAAAAGTACAGGTATTTATAAAGCACAAAATAATTTTTAAGTTAACATAGTATACTGTCATGTGTAACTAATTAAAACAAATAAAAAAAGTTAACAGTAATAATTAAGGGAGTGAATGACTGACTAAAGAGAGCATAAACAAATGTATAACCACGAACAATTTTTATTTTTACATCTTACTCTTCCATTTTTTTGCTAATTATTTTTCCTTCTTTTCCAAAGTCTTCAAATGTTGATTGAGTAGGAATATTTAATTTCTTTTACCTGAAATAACTGAATCAGGAGATCAGAGGAATGACATGCCCGTATCACTTAGGTACATGATGGCTCTGGGTATGTGTGTAATGCCATTGTCATGAAGGACTCTGGGATTCTTGACTTGTCATTACAGTTTTTACCACTATTGATTTCCTCTCCCATCCAAACCTCTCAGGCTATAATATGAGTTCTGAGGTCATTTCACTATGTAATGTGGAATGGATCCTGTCAGTCTTTTTCCTCAGTAGCAAAATAGGGAACAAAATTTACTGTATTAATTTTGGTTTCTTATAATTATGTGTGTGTGTGTGTGTGTGTGAGAGAGAGAGAGAGAGAGTGAGAGAGAGAGAGAGATAGAGAGAGAGAGAGAGTCAGAGAAAGAGATGCTGATCTTGAGAGATTTATACTAAGGAATTGGCTAAAGCAATTGTGGAGGCATAGTAAATCCAAAATCTGCTAGGCAGTCTGGTAAGTTGGCAGGCTGGTGACCCAGGGAAGAGTTTTAGTTTGAACCCATAGATGGTAGGTAGCCTGTTGGCAAAAGCCAAAATTCCTTCTTGCTGAGGAAATGTCTTTCTTTTACCATTAGGCCTTTAACTGATTAAATGAAAACTATTCTAGTTGGGGAGGGTAATCAGCTTGACTAATTTGAATGTTAGTCTCACCCATAAAAATACCTTCACAGAAACATCCAGAATAAACCTTTGATCCAATATCTGGGCACTGTGGCATGGCCAAGTTGACATATAAAACTTAACCATCATATCTACCAAAGTTGTTGTCAGAGTTAAATGTGGTAAAACATGAAAAGCACATGTATAATTCTGGGAACATAAGAATTTAAGGAACTCTTCATAGTTTTATACATTTTAGACTAATCCAAAAGCAGGACCATGGTGAAATGCCTCTTCTTGAAACTGGAGGTCAACCAGTGGTTCCCGACCATTCCTATTTAATTAGTGATCATGGTCCCTGTTAGAATTCTGTTTTGGCCCAGCATTAGACTCATGGCCGCTAACTCTTGTACAGTCTTCTAAACTCATTTCTTAATTGTTGGTGAGAAGATCATATCACTGGGCTAAACTCTTGATTTATGTACATCCCTCGTGGTTTTGCTTTCAGTTCCTGGTCTAGGTTCTGCTTTTCAACTTTACCACAGTGGCCCCAATGCCTAGTAAAATGTATTGGGTCCCTTGGAAAGATATATCAATACTGATCTTTTTCCTTATCCTCATTATCTCTCTTTTTTCTCTTTTTGTGTTAGTCAACTCTCTGTCACTGTGACAGAATATCTGAGTTGAATAACTTAGAGGAGGAAAGATTAATTTTGGCTCGTGGTTTCAGAGGTTTTAGTTCATGGTTGGCAGGCTCCATTGATTTGGGGCCTGTGGCAAGGCAAAAATGGTGGGGAGTATATGGTGGAGCAAAGTGCTCACCTCATGGTAGCCAAGAAACAGAGAAGGATGGGTAGGACCCAGGTACCAATATACCCTTCAAGGTTATCCACCCAGTAACCTTTTTCCTCCAGCTAGTCCCCTCTTCTAAAGTTCCCATCACTTTCCAATAGTACCATCAGCTAGAGACCAATTCTTTAGCACACAGGCCTTTAGGGAACATTGTAGATCCAAACTGTATCATCCTCTAATTTTGGCTTCTACTGACAACCTTTCTCTGAAGCCTGGAGTTATCCCAAATATTGGGTGAATTCTGAACTGATTTCTGTGTTTGGTGATACAAAATCAT